AATGTAATAAGGCTTAGGTTAATAAAGGAGACATGCATTAAAATAGGTAGGTAAGCCCTGGCTGATATGGTTCAGCGGTTAGAATGTTGGCTCGTGGATCAATGAGTTGCGGGTTCAGTTCTGGTCAAGGGCACATATCTTGGTTGTGGTTCGTCCCTGGCCCTAGACAGGTTGTGTGACATGGAGGCAACCAGTCTTTGTGGCTCTATCCCATCAGTGACTATTCTGCATTTTGATACAGAATAGTCACTGATGGGTCATTTATTCTTCTCTCTGTCTCTTTCTCCCTCCCTCCCACTCTATCTGATAAAATTAAAAAAAAAAAAAAAAGTAATGGTGCTTTATGAGCAAGTCAAAGCATAATCCAAAACAATAACTTTTAGCTTAAATCACAGTTACAGTGTTTATATATAAAGTGCTTAGCTGTTTTTTAATTAGTAGATACTTTCTTCAATAAATATTTTTGCTTCTTATGCTATCACTTACTAGAATGATCACAAATGATAGTAAAGAAAGATCTGGGACTCTGAATTTCATTTATAATAGAAACTAATTGCTTAAGTATTACAGAGGAAGTGAAGGAGAGATCGATATTTGATATGTAAGAAATGAAGGCATAGGATAAGAAATTATATAGGAGGAGAAAGGCATCCAGGTATCTTTCATGTATTCAGTATGTATTTATTGATAGCTTACTATGCTAGAAGCTGGGATATAAAAGTGAAAAAAGTAGGCCAAGTTCTTGCCCTCATGTAGCTTACACTGTAGGGAGGAAACCCACCTCGAGATAACATAATGTCAAATTGTGATAAAAATGCCTCTCTCTTACAAATTAGGTTTAACATTTTTTTTCTATTGCATTTTACATTTTTTAAAATAGCAGCTTTATTAAGATGTGATTCATATATCATGACATTTTTTCTTTTAAAGTGTACAATTCAGAGGTTTTCGTTTTATTAGCCAAATTGTGCAAACAACTATTAACAATGGTTTTAGCAGGATTCTCTGAGTGTTTCTTTTTCAGATCTTTTCTGAAAGCTGCCTTCTTCTTTTGGTATTAATCCTGCCCTTTAGGCTCCACTAATTACCAGCTGACTATTCTGCTTTTCTTTTTTTAAATCCTCACCTGAGGACATTCTTTATCTTTAGATAGAGTGGGAGGGAGAGAGAGAAACGGAGAGAAAGAGAGAAACATCCATGTGAGAGGGACACATTGACTGGCTGCCTCCCACATGACCCTGACCAGGGCCAGGGACGAACTGCAACTGAGGTACATGCCCTTGACTGGAATCGGACCTGTGACTCTTTGGTCTGCGGGCCGACACTCTAACCACTGAGCAATACTTGCCAGGGTGACTATTCTGCATTTTGATACAGTGCCCTAGGGCACACATTGCTCAGCAGTCTGATAATTAAATTCTGGCAGGGGTAGTTTTTTTGACTGCTCTTCAAGGTTTGTTCTATTGCAGGTGTGCTCTTCTTAGCTATCTTTCCCTGTTTATTTTTCTTATGAATTAGGTGGCCTATGATTTAGCTTGTTGCTCTTAATTAAGAGGAATTATTTTTTAAAAACTTTTTTTCTTTATTGATTTTAGAGAGAGGAAGGGAGAGGGAGAGAGAGATGGGAACATTGATGAGAGAGAACATTGATTGGCTGTCTCCTACATGCCCCCTTCTGGGGATTTGGCCCACAGCCTGGGCATGTGCCCTGACTGGGAATCGAACCAGCAACCTCTTGGTGCACAAGTCGACGCTCAACCACTGAGACCCACCAGCCAGGCAGGAATTATTATTTTTAAGGCACCCTTAGGCTTGAACTTCCTCACACTGTTTCAGATAAAAGTCAGTTACTTTTGGGAGAGCTTCAGATTTCTTATACTTTGCCTATCCTCCAGGGCAATCATGCGGAGCCACTGTTCTGGGCACAGGGCTGGGCAGTTGCCTCTGGCTTGCTACTTCTGGTGTCCTATGAGCAAATGGGGGTGAGGGCAGTGGGGCCCCAATAATCTCAGCCTGTGGTACTGTGGTAAACTTCTGTTTTATAGGTGGAGACTGCGTGGAGAAAGGGAGCCTCTGATCTCTTACCCACACTAACCGGGAATTTAGCCTCTTTATCATGGAATTGGAGGGGATAAGAAATGTTGATGACCTACTTTTTTCTGTGACACACTGTAAACCTTGATTAAGAGCTGAGAGGAAGCTCTGCTCTCGGCCACACCTACCTGCAATGGAGCTTCTGTGGACCTGAGCTGAGGCAAGGTAGCAAATGGGTTATGGCTCAGATGCCTGAAACTGTCCTTATACCACATTTTAGTGGCTGTTTTTGAATAATATTTCTTTATTCAAATATGTCCTTAGGACAATTTCCAGACTTTAAATGGTTGTTTTTTAAAATAGTTTTTGTTAGTTATGCTTGTTTCACTGGTGAGTGGGTCTGTGAAGCAACTTTCCCTATCATCCTGGAAGTGGAACTCTCCAAACTACTTAATTCTAAATGTTCCTAAAGTTTAAAGATATCTTCTTCTCAGTAAGGAAATTACCATTCCAGGTAACTGAGGTTTTTTTTCTTTTTTTTTTTTCTTCTTACTTTTCTGAACAGAGGTTTTAGTCAGACATGAAACCCAGAGCTACCAATATCAGAGGAGTCTTTGCACTCTCTAACTGTCATATTAAGGACTTTTATAATCACCATATATATCATGAGTTAAAGATGTTATTTTCAGGGTATGTTTACCTAGTTTTTGGCTACCCACAGAAATCTGCCGTTTCCCCCCAGTGTGTTTATTTGATTGGAATTGACAGTTCTTTGGCACTGTTGATATGTGGATGTTTCCTGTGGAGGATATTTGATTTTTTGTGTTTTGTTTTTGCATTCTTAGAAACATACAATTTACAAATTTTTAAATTGATATTAAATTAAATTCTGAATTTTTTAAATGGCTTCATATGACATGAAATTACATTTTATAAAAGAATTTTACTGACATCTTAGCATTTCAGTCATATATAGAGTTTCATATAAAAAAGTTAGACACTTAGCCCTGGCCAGATGGCTCAGTTGGTTGGAGCGTCATTCTGTACACCAAAAGGTTGCAGGTTCAGTTCCTGGTCAGGACATATACCTAGATTGCAGGTTCCATCCCTGTTCGGGTCGCATATGGGAGGCAACTGATTGATATTTCTCTCTCTCTCCCTAAAATCAATAAGCAGATTTTTGGCTCAGGATTAATAAACAAACAAATAAAGCCAGAAACTTAAATTTTTAGAACTTGAATGTGCCTCATTCTTTCTATTCTACTGAATGAAGAATCCTTTCTATTTGTCGCCCTTGATATGTTTGTTAATATACCTAGTTCAGTCACTCTCTACTCCTTTCTGTGTTTACTCTTGTGATCACTGAATGACTCCATTCCTAAAATCTCACATTCCTGAAAGGGAATCCAGTGTAAGGCAATAATCATACCAAATCATTTCAAGGTCACTGGAAAGCAAGTATATTGGTTTTTCTTGGCTAATCTTCCATTTTAGTTTTGATGGTGGAGAGGTGAGTGGGGTCATGTTGTAAATATACTTATACCTCTGCCTACAATTATCATATAGATAATTTCTTCAGCAGGAGCATACGTTTGACGGTTTCTTGCAGAATGAGGTGGTAGACATAATTGAACCAATTGACTCACACTCTATTGTTTATTAACATGAGCATTTCTTACCTCAGGCTATAAGCAAAATTACCAAAGGAGTTGATAGTGGTCAGTTTTGTAGTAGTTAGCCTGCTGTTGGGAATTCCCTTTAATATAAAATTCATTTGTATACTATTGTAATATATAACATTTGTCTGTAATAGTGATCTGTTGTGAAATTTTACTTCCATGATATACTGTGTCTGGCTGCTTGATGAATTTCATACTGTAACACACATATCAAAGTAGGATTTAATGGTAAAATATCCATGTATGTTCCTACAGTTCCTCTGGAAGGACACACAAGAAACTGGTCATTGGTAGCCCCTAGAGAAGAGAATGCCCTAGGCTGGAGGGCTCAGATGGGAAGTGTATCCTTTTATTCCATTTAAGTTTTGTAATGAGTATAAGCTACTGAGACAGTAGTAGTAAAGCACTAAAAAGTAAGTAAAACAAAAATAACAAGGTAAACAACAGCAAAAGGGAAATTAGGCAGACTCCCTGTGGATACTAGCCAAATATTATTTGGTGACTGCTGTTTGGGTTTCTTCTCACAGTTATTAAGCTCTCCATGTTGATTGATGGCTAAATTTGATTAGAACTCTTTTCTAGGTGGTAATAACTCAGTTCTAATATTTTATCATCATATTGTTCCCTCCAACTTAAGATGATGTAGAAAAGTTGCCAGGTTTCTCTTTGACATGAGATCTGTTCTTGATTTGGAATGCAAGCTAATAGAGTGTTGCTTCATGAGTAAAAAGACCACGGTGGTGATTTATGAGTATTCTTCTACTATTGATAACTAAGACAAGATTTTTTAAGGTACTTTGATCTTTATAGATGGTGAAGAATTTACTTAAATCTTTTTCCAAATTCTATATCTAAAGTCTGAGTGATTAAATTCATTCTCGGTGTTTCATTTTCAAAGAATGCAACTTTAGCCCTGGCCGGTGTGACTCAGTGATTGGAGTATTGTCTCAAGCACTGAAGGGTTACAGGTTCGATTCCTGGTCAGGGCACATACCCAGGTTGCGGTTCAGTCCCCTGTTGGAGCAAGTGCAGGAAGCAACTGATCAATGTTTCTCTTTTACTTCAATGTTTCTCTCTCTGTTTGTCTCCCTCCCTCCCTTTCCCTCTTCCTTCTTCTCTCTCTAGAATCAATGAAAAAAGTATCAGGTGAGGATTAAAAAAATTAATAAAAGAATGCAACTTTAGCAAATCTCTTTATATAATGCAGTTGGATTATATTAACTTTTATGTTATTGTCATATTGTATTTTAAACATTTACAGGCTTTCTTTTTCTTTATGCCCTTTAGCCGGCCTCAGAAAGTGTGTTTATGTCCATTTCTACCAGTGCATCCTCTGCACATCTCTACCCACTTGTACATAATTCAGCATCCAGCAGAGGTGAGTAAGATTTTGTGATATACACAATTTCAAATAGGAAATTAGTATACAGGAGGAAACATACAGATGAACATACTCCTTCCTCCCAGCTACTTAGTATTTCTGGAAATAAATGGACAATAAATGGGAAAAAATCTTTGGGAAAAAATAGTTTCTTTTATATATCATATGGTAGTATAGTAAAATGATGTTATTTCATAAAAACTGTCATTGAATAGTATAGAAATTTAGAACTTTAACAATTTTGTGTGAAGGTAAAATGGGATTTTTGTGAGTACAGAGCTAGGAAAATCATTGCTTTTTAAATTTTGCTCATAGCCTTTATACATTGATGTCTTTTCTTAAAATAGAAGTAATTCTCAGCATATTATTTTATTTTACTTTTTGTTTTTATTTCTTAATTTTTACTTTTCAATTAAAGTTGACATACAATTTTATATTAGATTCATGTGTACAATATAGTGAGTAGATATTTATTTAACTTATGAAATGATCACCCTGATAAATCTAGTACCCATCTGACACCATACAGTGTAATTACAATATTATTGGCCATATCCCTTATGCTATACTTTACATCCCATGACTATTTTGTAACTACCAATTTTTACTTATTAACCCCTTCTTTTTTCATCTTTCTCCCCAATCTCCCTCCCATCTGGCAACCATCAAAATGTTCTCTGTATCTATGAGTTTTTTTAATTTATTTGTATATTTTGGTTTTTAGATCCACATATAAGTTAAATCGTATGGCATTTGTTTTTCTCTATCTGACTTATTTCACTCAGCACAATATCCCTCTAGGTCCATCCATGTTGTTGCAGATGGCAAGATGTCCTTCTTTTTTATAGCTTAGTCATATTTCATGCATTGCGTATATGCACACTTCTTCATCAGTTCATCTATTGATGGACACTTAGGATGTTTCTGAATCTTGGCTATTGTAAATAATGCCACAGAAACATATGTATGTATATGTCTTTTCAATTTAGTGTTTTGTTTTTTTTTGGATAAATATCCAGAAGTGGAATTACTGGATCCTTTTTTGTCTCTTGTTATATAGCATTTGTTTTATTTTAGTTCTTTTGTTTTCTTTATTTGTTTATTTTTTTATCCTCATCTGAGGATATGTTTATTGATTTTTTAGAGAGAGAGGAAGGCAGAGAGAAAGAGAGAGAGAGAAAGAAACATCGATATGAGAGAGAAACATTGATTACTTACTTCTTGTGCACTCCACAACCAAGGTATGGGCCCTGACTGGGAATCAAATCTGCAACCATTTTTAGTGTATGGGACGATGCTCCAACCAAGTGAGCCACTTGACCAGGGCAGCCTTTATTTTAAAGTTTAATTTGTCTGGTGTAAATATTGCTACCCCCCCCCCCCTTTTTTTTGTTTTCACTCTCATGAAGTATCTTTTTCCATCCCTTTACTTTCAGTCTGTGTGTGTCTGTTGATCTGAAGTGGGTCTCTTGTTTTTATATGGATTCTTGTTTTCTTATCTATTCAGCTACCCTATGTCTTTTGATTCAATAATTTAATCCACTTACATTTAAAGTAATTATTGATAGATATATAGTTATTGCCATGTTATTATTAATACTTTACATCTTTTTTTAATTTTTCTTAAAGATGTCTCTTTAGCCCTTGATGGTTTGGCTCAGCGGTTGGAGCGTCGGTCTGTGGATCAGAGAGTCCTGGGTTTGGTTCCCGCTAAGGGCACATACCAAAAAAAAAGATGTCTCTTTAACATTTCTTGTTATACTGATCTGGTGGTGATGAACTCCTTTAGCTTTCTTTCTAGAAAGCTCTTTATCTTTCCTTCAATTCTAAATGAGCTTTGCTGGGTAGAGTAATCTTGGTTGTAGGTCCATGCTTCTCATCACTGAATATTTTGTGCCAATCTTTTCTGGTCTGCAAAGTTTCTGTTGAGAAATCAGCTGATAGTCTTTTGTTTTTTAAAATCCTCACCCAAGGATATTTTTCCATTTATTTTCAGGTAGAGTGTGGGGGGGAGGGAGAGAGAGAAAGAAAGAAACATCGATGTGAGAGAGACACATTGATTGGTTGCCTCCTGCATGACCTGACTAGGGCCAGGGATCTAACTGCAACCATGTGCCTTTGACTAGAATTGAATATTTACAACTCTTTGGTGTGCAGGCCGTCGCTCTAACACTGCTGAGCCAAACTGGCCAGGGCAATACGCTGATAGTCTTATTGGAGCTCCCTTGTAACTAACTAACTGCTTCTTTCTTGCTGCTTTTAAGTTTCTCTTTTTGCCTTTCACTTTTTGCATTTTAATTATGATGTGTTTTAGTATGGGCCTCTTTGGATTCATCTTGCTTGGGATTCTCTGTGCTTTTGGGTTTGTATGTCTATTTCCTTCGCCAGGTTAGGGTAGTTTTCCATCGTTAACTCTTCAAATGGGTTTTCAAGTTCTTGTTTTCTCTCTTCTCCCTCTGGTACCCCCATGATGCGAATGTTGGAGCACTTGTTGTCCCAGAGGCCCCTTAAATTATCCTCATATTTTTGGATTCTTTTTTCTTTTTGATTGGATGTTTTCTGCTTTCTTATCTTCCAAATTGCTGATTTGATACTTCGCTTCATCTACTCTACTGTTGATTCCCTGTAATTTATTCTTTATTTCAATTATAGTATTCTTCATTTCTGATTGGTTCTTTTTTTGTTTTCTATCTCCATTTTTATGTTTCCTATCACTTTGTTGAAGTTATCTTGGAGACCACTGAGTATCCTTATAACCAGTTTTTTTAAACTCTGCACATGGTAGATTACTTGTTTCCATTTTGTTTACCTCTTTTTCTGGAGTTTTGTTCTGTTCTTTCATTTGGGACATGGTACTTTTTATCCTCATTTTGGCAACCTCCCTGTGTTTGTTTCTAGTTTTTAGCTAGAGCTGCTACTTCTCTCAGTCTTGATAGAGTGGCCTTATGTAGTAGTTGTTCCATGGTGCCTAGTGGCACAGTCTCCTTTGTTACCTGAGCCAGGTTCTCTAGGTTTGTCTCTTTTGTGGGTTATGTGTGCCCTCCTTTTGTATTGAGTCTTGATGGTTGTTGGCACATCAGTGGGAGCGACTGATTGATCCTCAGGCATTGATTAATACTATAGGGACTGACCCTACAGAGCAGGATTCACTTTAGCTGGTCTCTGTTGCCTGCTGCTGAGTCTTCCTTTGGGTGTGTCATTTATGGTGGTGGTTGAATAGTGTTCTTGTGTGGTCTGAAGCCACACCACTGTGTGTGTTGGTTCTGGGGTATCTTGGGACATGCAGTCCAAGATCAGCTACTGCCTGTGACCTGCCTGGGGCCACCTAGTATGAAGTACAAAGTGATCTGTAGATGGTTGCTACTTGTGCTGGGCTTGATGGTGCCTGGGAGAGGCTAAGCTGTGAACTGAGGCTGGCTGCCACTAGTGCCAGGCTTGGACTGCTCAGCAAGAGGCACAGAGCACATTGAGGCCAGATGCTGCTTGTTTTAGGTATGTGAACCTTTGGAAGATTTTAGGAAAGTCCACAGCATGAGCCAAGAAAGGCTGTTTGAATGGAAAAGCCATTTTGGGCCCACAGGTTGGGTAGGACAGGGTGAACTGTGTTAGCTAGGTTGATGGAGACTCATTATGTGGTGCCCACCTGCACCTGCAGGTTGAGTGGAGGTAGGGCTCAACAAAGGAACAGTGGCTTCTGGCAGCATTTCTGTCTGTAAGAAAGCTACCCTGCCATCCTTGCCCTGAATTTAGAACTTTATTTCCTTTTCGTTATGTCCCTGGTACCTTTCGAGATGCTGCCCCAGCAATGAATCTATCAGCTATCCCCATGAGGGTCCTTTAAGAGAAACATCTGGTACTTCATTAACCCTCCATCTCACTCAGCCATAATCTCTGCTGGTTTTCACAGCCAGAAGTTATGGGAACTTCTCTTCCCAGCACTGGAACCCTGGGCTGGGGCTTGGGCTGATATGGAACGAGGACAACACTCCTCAGGGGGGACTTCTGCAGCTGGGATATCCTTCCTCATTTTTAACTGCCTTACGTGGGTGTGGGACCAGCCAGTTCCATCTCTCTGCTCCTACCAGTTTCAACATGGCTTCTTCTGTATATCTGTAGTAATTGGACTTCTGTTCAGCTAGATTTCAGGTGGATCTTGATGACGGTTGTTTTGTAGTTTAATTGTAATATTGATGTGGTTGTAAAAGGAGGTGAGTATGCATTTACCTTGCCATCTTCACTGGAAGCCACTCTGCATTTTATGATACAAAATAAAAGCGTGAAATCATTTTTTTTAATGAATAGAACAAATATGTATATTTTTTAGTATATATGTTGTAGATAAAGAATTTTAATGAATACTTTCCTATATTAGGAAGTGTATATGTGTATATGTGTTTGTGACTCTTGATTAACTGCAGTAATGAAGTGGGAGGGGGTCACAGACAACCAAAAAGTATATTAAAACAAAACTAGTCATTGCATGGTACCAAATGAGTTCAGTGTAAACTATTCCAGCATTTAGGAACTCAGGATATCATAGGTTGAACCAGGCTTTTCAAGGACTAATTTTTAAAACAATTTCTTAAGCTTATACCAATCGAAGACTTGAACAAGATATAAAAGATATTAATCTGTCTTTTTCCTTTCCAAATGATGAAGCATATATTCTTTAACTGCAGATCATTAATATTCCATTTATTGGGCAACTGTTTTTTCAGTGTTAACAGCAGCATATTTTGGTCAGACTTTGACAGTTTGGTCACTAGCATTATTTTGTTGCATTTAATCTTAAAACACTGTGCAGTTCAAATTTACGTAAAATGATAGCTTACTGGCCATAACAGTTTTGGCTGAAGCTTAACTTTAGATAGTGAATGCTATTATCATTTTGCAGTATACACGGTATGATGTCTTTTTATTATTATGTGGTTCCAGACTTAGATGGCTCTTAAAAAGTAGGTGTTTTCATTGATTTGTGGCAACTTGAAATGCTTTCAAATCTTCCCTCCCTCTCTCCCTCCCTCCTGCCCACCCTTCTCTTCCATTGTTAATTTAGTGTTTAGGTAATCAGTCCATGATTGTGTACTCCAAATGTATTTTATGTGTAGACAAGTACATCCGTATTATTTTCCTTATCACCCAAGGAATTTTCCAATCTTAATCTATCTCAATAATACTGGGCTGCTTGCGCTTAATATCAGCACACTATTTTCAATAGAAGAATATACCAATTTATGACTCTTTCTAAAAAGTGATTGAAAACCATTTGGATAGATTCTACGAGGTGGCTTTGGGAAAAGGAGACTTACTTAAGAATGAAAACAAAACAGTTCTTTCAAAAATAACAAAAAGATGTACAAGAAAGAAATGTTGTGTTAAACTGCTTGGCCTTTTGTGAACAATGTATATGCAGCCATAATGATGTAAACACTGTTTAAGTAAAAATGTTAGAAACCCTAGCTGATGTGCCTCAGTGAGCTGAAGCATCATCCCATGCACCGCAAGGTGTCGGGTTCAATTCCTGGTCAGGGCACATACCCAGGTTGCGGGTTCGATTCCTGATCAGGGTGTGTATGGGCAGCAGCCAGTTGATCTTTGTCTTTCTCTCCACCTTCCTCTCCCTAAAATCAATAAACAAAATGTCCTCGGGTGAGGATTAAAAAATATTAGAAGACGTGAGGGTAAGGAGTGATGTCAGAAAGCCGCATCCTCATTTATTATGAGGGGCTGTAATTATAAAAGGCACTAGTTAAGAGGAAGGGCTCAGGAGCCAAATTGCTTGAGTTTAAATCCTTAATAACTCTGTGAGCTCTGTAACCCTGGGCAACTTAGTTAGGCTCCATGTCTTCAGTTTTGTCATAAGTAAAATGAACATGTTAAAAGATATACTTCTTTACTGGTTTATTGTGAACAGCAAATTACTGCACTTTGAATAATGTACATTAAAGTTAGCTATTATGATGATAATACTAGATAGTTTGTATATAATAAATTATAAAATTGATAAATTAAGAAATAGCAAAACAGACACATTATTTAGAAATATGGCGATAACTACCAGAAGATATAACTAAAAGAGTTGAAGTGATTGCCTCTGGAAGTGGTATAGGGGAGTGTATTGGGGAACATTATACATTTTTTGGCACTATTTAATTTGATATATATACATGTGTTAATTGATAAAGTTTGGAAAGTGATTTCAGTATATGTCAAAATCTCCTAGTGATGGTCTAGAGTATGAAACACTGTAAAATGTCCTAACATGCCCCATCTCACCTGTCTCCTCCTAGTTGCATTTATATATTAGCTGCTCTAAATTGCTGTTTTCATGCTTCCTCAGAATTCCAGCATGCTACATGGTTTTTAAATAATCCCAGAAACTTGTTACTCTCCTATTTTCTTTCCCAAATTTTTATTAGGTAGATGAATTTAATTAGTCTCAACATCTTTAAATTTATTTATTTATTTTTTATCCTCACTTGAGGACATTTTTCCACTTTTTGTTCAGATAGAGCGGGAGGGAGAGAGAGGAAGAGAGAGAGAGAGAGGAAGAGAGAGAGAGAGAAACATCGACGCGAAGGGACACACCGAGTAGCTGCCACCCGCACGACCAACCAGGGCGGGGGACAAACTGCAACCGAGGTACGTGCCCTTAGCGGGAACCGAACCCGGGTCTCTCTGTACCGCAGGCCGACGCTCCAACCGCTGAGCCAAACCGGCCAGGGCTTTAAATTTATTTTTTACATATTATTTTAGTCAACACTCCAGGAACCCAGAAGTAAAAGTAGTACATACAAAAATGTCCATAAAGGATGTGTGTGAGTGTGTTTATGTGTGTGTGTGTGTGTGTGTGTGTGTGTGTGTGTGGTTGTTGAATACTGTTACTACAATACTTTTGTTTTTTGCTGCTTGGTCAATAAATTTATTATTGTCTGTGTCTGAAAAATCTTCATAGAAAATTGTGGTGTCGTTGATTAGGTCTGAGAAGCTGGTTCCTGAGCTCTGAGGAAGGTTGTCTTCTGAGCTACCCGATCTTTCTTCTGGGCAAGAGACATTTTGAGATGGTTCTACCTCTTTTTTTTTTTTTTTTTTAATCTTACCTGAGGATATTTATTCATTTATTTTCAGATAGACTGGGAGGGAGAGGGTGAGGGAGAGAGAGACAGAGACAGAGACAGAGACAGAGACATTGATGAGAGAGAGACACATCGACTGGTTGCCTCCTGCACGACCCTGACCAGGGCCAGGGCTGGGGACTGAACCGCAACCGAGGCAAGTGCCCATGACCGGAATCAAACCTGCGACACTCTGGTCTGTGGGTGACGCTCTAACTGCTGAGCCAAAACAGCCAGGGCCCACCTCTTATTTTTAATTTCTTTCTTAGGCTTCTTTTCATAGACTGGATTCTCTCTTATAGCAGCATGAGCTTTCTTTCACATCTCCTCCATCATGTCTGGAGTTATGTTGTTCTTTATGTACTGAGAGAATTGTTTCTTGTAAGCGTCTTCATCTTCTTCCATTAAATGACACATACAGTCTGCAGCGTTCTGACCCATGATGTGCTTCCGATGTACTTCTGCGTTGAATTCCTTGCTTCCTGAATCATAACCAGGGAATCATTTGGAACTGTGTGATGGAGAACAATTCTCCATCTACAGCTCCCTTTAGGGACCCAAAAACTTTAGTAGCAGTTCTGGCAAGTCCTGCATCCAAATAGCAGGTGAAGGCACCAGGTTGATCATCAGTGCTTCCCACATTGTATTCATCTGTCACCTCCACTTGGCCTTCATGGGTCCTGCCAATGGCACACCAACGGAGAAGCCTGCGGCCAGCAGCAGGCCCGAACAATGTGCTGCAGCATAGCGTGTCAGGCCAGTCTTCACACCATACTTTGGGAGGTCATCACCATGAGCTGCACAAACCATCTTATCTCCTTCCATACGGGCATCAGCAACCTGACAAATGATCTCTCTGTTGGTTACACGAACTATCATCCTGTGTTTGGGTGTGTTGTACTTACTGTTTTTATCCTGGAATACCAAGCATTTTTGAGCATAGTAATCAGTTTTACCCTTTCGTTGTCTTCTAAATTTCACTTGGATCTTTTGAAGGCCTTACTTTTGACAACTTTAACAAACCCTATCCTGTGGAAGAGAGACCTGTGCCATGGCTTGCCACAGACCTGCAGGCCCAGCACAGCTCCAGAGGGGGCGGGGGAAGTACAATACTTTTTCTTTCTATTGTAAACAAATAACTTATAAATTTATTTATTTATTTATTTCCCTTTTGCTTTTTTTTTCTTTTTTATTAATTAATTTTTGTTACAGATGTTTCTCCTTTTTCCCCCACTGATTCCCCCCTCCCCCTCCCTCCCTGCCCTTTCTCCAGATTGTTGTCCATGTCCACTGTTCATGCATACATGCATATAAGTTCTGTGGTTTATCTCTCCCCCACCACCCCCCTCTTTAGGGGATTGTCAGTCTGTACCCCACTTCCGTGTCTCTGGCACTGCCCCATTCCTTTGTGGAAATTTATTTATTTTTAATTATTTTAGTGACTTCACATGTAACATTACTGTTTTGTTTATTAAATTCCTAGGTAAATGATATTCCTAAAGTAAAGTAAATAATATCTGATATTCCTTAAGGACATTGTCATTTTTTTTTAAGACACAAAATAGTCAAGTTATTCACTGCGAGGGTATATATAAGCAGGATTATATAAATTGATAAAGACAATATTGGGCTGTATGTAGGTAAGCTGATTAGAGAGTGGCACTGTTACTTATTTGATTGAGTATGACATTCCCAGTTGGACTGGTTGAGAGGAGCCAGAGAGTGACTGAGCACTATAGACCAAAATAACCAAGAAAAGTGGGGCTAAAGCAGAATAGCTAATCACTTGGCTCTACTGGGATTGAGGATAGAATTCTTGTGACAACAGGAAAGGTGGGTTTTAGTGTTAGATGCAAGGACATTGAAAAAAACCACTTGTGATAGTTAATGGGATTTACAGAAATGGTCACCAAGTTTTTCCACTCTAAAGTTATTATTTTTCTTCCATTTCTGTACTCTTTATTATTTGGAAGTAAGGCCATAAATTCAGCCCATGCTCAAGTGGGAGGGAGATAAAGCTTCACCTCCTGGAGGGGGGAGTATTTACATTTATTACTTCTATAAGGAAGTTTGTCTCTTTTCTCCCATTTATTTATTTATATTAGTCTGGACTCTATTTATTTTGTACTTTGGATTATGATCTAAATACTATGTTACTTATATTGTTGCTGAAATTGTTCAGTTTGGCCATTGGGAGCTCTTAAGATTGGCTTCTGTGTGCCATTGATATGCCCCATCGTTTTGTATTTTGAACATTTCCTTGCTTTGTTGGCACAAAGATGTAGGCAGTTATCTTCAAGTTGACATACTACAAAATGTAATTACTATTGGAATAAAAAGTTTGTCAGAATAAACGATTCAATTTAGTGAAACACAAATTTACATTTTTCATAATTTTAACTGTGATTTAATGTTATCTTATTTTGATCAGTAAACCTCTAAACATACCCAAGTAGAATAAAAATGTGCACTTGTATTATATTTACTACTGATAAATCAGAGGAACTATAGTTCTTTTTATTAAACTGCGGTTAGTAGTAAAAGACTTGTGAAAATTCTGTATAATGTTATAAATCAAATATTCATCATAAAAGTTTTAGAGGTATGTGTGTCTAAATACAAACCTACATTTTAATTAATTTTTTAATTGAAGGAAAGCAAAGTGTTGCGGACAGTTCCTCTACTGGCAGCATGCCTCCCCCGGGACAGGTGTAAAGTCAAGATTGGTCGTCGTTTTAGTGAAGAAAGGTAAATTAACTTTTAGGGCAATTTAAAATAATTTTTTTCTATATAGATCTTTAAAAACAATTTCTGTAAATTTATTCTTTAGACATAGAACATGGTACATTGGAAATGGTAAAAAATTTAAGTTCTGCCTTTTCTCTCAAAATAATACAAGACAAAGCAAAACAAACAAAAACACTTCCCCAAAACATAACCAAAGTAGAATAAACAAAGGAATGATAGCATGATCTGAATTCTATACTAATATATATTGAGCCTAAAAGACATATATATTTACTGTTTATTTTATTTTTGTTTAAGATGATAGGGTACTTGTATTAGATTTAGTTACATTTTTTTCTTTTTAAAAATATATGTGAGATACATTTATATAACTAAATAAATATCTATCCATTTTCACACATTAAGGCTTTCCTAAGTACAGTGACTAGAACTAAGTATTTAGTATTCTAGTTATAGGTACATCATATATTGTTTAAGGATAAAACACCTTCTCCTGTCATAGTTTAAATATTCTTTTTGATGAGGCCCAGTACTTTTATATGCAACAGCCATTAGTTAATACCTTCATTGACAGACCTATAATGTTCTTGGATCTTATTTCACACTGTATTACATAAACCATTATCATAAATATGTATTACACACTATATATATTTAAATCTTTCTACAAGTCTTTTTATACCTTTGAATCGTCTTTGTTGCTTTTCTGCCCATTCACACAGCCCTTATAAATTACTTTGATTCTTTCTTCACAATTAAATATATTTTTAGATGTCAAATTTAATTGCTCTTGAAAATATAGAGATTTCTTTTTCAGTTCACTTATGAAAATGCTAAGTAAGACTTGTACTAGCACAAAGGCCAGGGAATTGACCGAGCTTTTTCCTTCCATTATTATTTTCGCTTCCTTTATAATTTAGTTTCATGTAATGACAATAATATCATGTTAGAACTTTATATAATCATTTTTTCTCTTCTCTGAAACTGTTGGTTAGGCACACTTTTCTCATATAGAATTTTCTGTTTTAGTTTTTGCATTGCCTTGCCCACAGAGGAGAAATTTGTTCTCAGCTTGGTGCTGCCATTTGGAATTTTGCCACTTTGTTGGGAATGGAAGGAAGCGAGATCCAGAGCTCATCCCATGGGGAGCAGCCACATCATTTCCACTGTGACACTTCTTTCACACAGAGGCTCTTTATGAAGCTAGTTTCTCTGTAATTATTGGGTGAATGTGAATATATAGGTGGAACAGGACACAGGAATCTGCCAACTTGGATCTAGCTTATTTTGTTGCAGAACTGATGAGCACTTTTGGGGGGTAGAACTGGAAACCATTGGGGCCATTCCTGACATTTTGGCTATCTAACCCCTCCATGAATGTGCGTGGGGATGAGAAGCTTGACACGCTTCCAAATAGCTCATCCCATTTTGAGCCCTTTATATTAAGTAGTTCAGTTTTTCCCATGTGCATAATATAGTGCTTACTCAGTAAATTATTCTCTGATGGATTTTAAACTAAAGATCATTAAGATTATTGATGTAATATTAATCTGATAATTATTAATTTAAGCTTTTCTTAGAGTATGTAATATAACCATAGGGGAATGATTATGAGACATACTACTTTTGGTATCCTTTGTAAATGGAATTAAAAATACTTATATTTAATTTTTTGCCTCTAGTATATAAGAAAGCAGTTAGGTTTTACATACTAACCTTGTATCCACTGACTTTCTAAATTCATTTGTTAGTTGTAGAAATTGTTGTGTGGATTCTCTAGGACTTTCTGTGTAATAATAAGTAGCGTTATTATATGCAAATAGGGTCTTTTATACTTCTTCCTTTCAGATCTTTATGGCTTTTATTTATTTTTTTCTTGCCTTATTGCAATAATTGGGACCTTCAATACAATATGTATTTGGAGTGATGAAAGCCAACATCTTTACCTTGATCTTAATCTCAAGGAACATTATTAAATATGAAATTGGCCATACATTTTTGTAGATGCCTTTTACTGGTTTGAAGAAGATGCTGTTTGTTGTCTTTAACTGACTCTTTCGTGTGTCTCCTTCCCCCTCAAGCTTGTTTTGTTTCTTGTAGACTTAGGCTATCTTATTACATTTTTAGTCTCAAAGAGCTTTGATTTGTGTTTTTTTTTTAATGAAGTTTAATAAGAATAATAAAACTTTGTTACCCCACAAGGTGATAAAGATTTTTTTTTTTTTTAAAACAACTTTTAGAGATCCTGAACTTTCAACTGTTTGTCGGAAGTCTGGTACATTAATATTATATCCAGGGGCTGAAGCTGCTAATTTGGAAGATTTTATATTAGATTCTCCTATTTATCCTTCCACAATTATCATCATCGATGGTACATGGAGCCAGGCTAAGGACATTTTCTATAAGAATTCCTTGTTCCGACTGCCCAAACAGGTAAACTAGTATTTTATTGTAGAATAAATACAAATGTATAATTATGTATGTTGTATATGTTGTTTCTAAGGGGATACACATACATTTTTATATATGAATTTGATAGTATTTGCATAGGTGAATGTATACATAAATATGAATATGCTTCTGTGTATGTGTGTGTATTGGGGGGGGGTAGGTTAGGTTTGAGATATATGTATAGCAAATTTCAAATTTGTCATTCTTTCTCAATTCCCACTGCCTAACTTTACTATATAGTTTAGGCATTTTGCTATATTAATAGTTTCTCAGACATATAATTAGAGAAGTCTGAGGGTTATTTCTATGTGTATTAATGTTTTTTAAGGATTGTTATGTTTAAATACTTTTATTTGGTAACTAAATTACTCTGTTCTTATTGGGAATGACTGAATTTTTATGAAATACTTTTTTTTGTCATTCTTTGTTATAAGCATATAGTTTATCTGTCAATTTGTTGATGTAATTAATGAGGATGATACATTTCCTAATATTGGACCATTCCTGGAATGAACTCTACTTGTCATATTAAATTGTCCTTTTTATGTATTGATGAATCTCATTTTATTTAATGACATTGGAATATTATTTATACATTTTTTTATACTTTTATTGTCAGGCATACTAAGATATTATTTGGTTAACTTCACCAAGTAAGTGGGAGAGATTTTAGTATTTTTCTATGGCCTTGGATAGTTTAAATAATATTAGAATTCCTTGCTCCTTAAAAATTAGATAGAACTCACTGGCAAAACCTATTCCTGTTCTCTTTAAAAACGGTAATTTAAAAACTCTTTCAAACTCTTTGATGGGTATTATTCAAGCTGTCTAATTCTATTTGGATTAGTTTTTAATAACTTTGATCTTTTCTAGGGAATTATTTCTTTCCCCTAAGTTAAATTGGTTGCCATATACCTTTATATATTCTTTAGTACTTATTTTAATTTTAAAATATTCCCTTCTCCTTTCTAATCATACATAAATAAACACACATTTTTTTTCTATGAACAGACTCAAAAAAGGTTTCTCTATTTTATTGTGCTTTTAAAAGTATTAGACTTCAGATTGTTTTAATGGCTGTTGTACTTTATTTTTATTTAATTAATTTGAGCTTGTGTCTTGATCAATTTCTTTTGCCCTTTTCAGCTTTTTTTTAATTTTTAAGATTTGTACTAAGAGTACTACATTGCTTTGTTAAGGTTTGTGAGTTTCTTCTTTATAATAAAGGGAAATAGGGTTGCAATATTTCTTCTTAGTATAACTTTCATTGTATCCTACAGCTTTGGATCTCTTACACAAAGATGGGTGTGTTCTTATATTTATAGCATTGATATAATTTGTAATGTCTTTTGCTTTCTTTCTACCCATGGATTATCAATGAATTCTTAATTCTCAAGTGTTACCACATATTTTATCACTTTTATTTCTGATATTGTCGGGTTGTAATAAAAGAACATTGCCTGTAATATTTTGAATAATTTTACGGTTTCTATATAAGTACATAGTAAAATTTTGCGTATTTTTGTATTTACAAATTTTGTATTTACAAATTTTTTGTATTTGCAAATTTTGTATTTACATTTTTAAAAACTTTGTTAGCTGCATTTTTTTCTGTATGTTTCTATTTTTGGCTTATTTGGGCTGTTTGATACTAAAAAAGGTATAGTAAAAGCTTTTTGTTTAGGTATTTCTTTTTTTCTTGAGAGAGAGAGAGAGACAGAGAGAGAGAGAGAGAGAGAGAGGGAGAGAGAGAAAGAGAGACATCTATGTGAGAGAGACACATCGACTGGTCATCTCCCGCACGACCCTGATCAGAGCGGGGACTGAATTGCAACTGAGGTATGTGCTCTTGACCGGAATTGAACCTGTGACTCTTTGGTCCATGAGCCCATGCTCTAACCACTGACCCCTACAGGCCAGGGCTGTTTGGGTATTTTTAATCACATTATTCCTGCATTTCCAATAGTTTTTGTGTTATATGTTTATCTATTCTGTTTCGGGTGCATATAAACCATGCCCTTAGTGAAAAATAACAGTGAAACCCTGGTTCTGAGATTTAAAGCTCAAATTCTTTATAGTTTCATTCCCTTTGACTAAAATGCAGACATGGTTTATAAGATACAAAACAGTCCTAAAAAATTGTTAACATGTTGAGTGCATTGAATAGGCAGTTCCAATTCCAAGTGCTTTACATGTATTAACTTGTTTTAACTTTATCCAAATCCTATGAGGTTATGTATTGTTATCTTAGACAACAGAGAGGAAACTGAGGCACAGAGATGTTAAATAGTTTGCTTTAGATCACATAACTATTTCATAGCAGAGCTGCAGTTTGAACCCATTAGAGCCAAAGCCTGTGGTCTTAACCAAAGTGGTATATTGCTTCTAAAATTGAAAATTTCCACCCAAGATATTTACATATAGTAGCTTCTGTAGGTTTATCTAACTTCTAAAATATTTCCTGCATGCCACAAGAACCAATTCATAAAAGGCATGGATACTGTCAGATTGTGGTACATTTCAGGTAAAATTTTATGTTCACATTGCATTTAGATATTGCCTAATAATCAAAGAAAGTTTAACAAGAGTGGTAACATATGAAAAAGTTTTAGTCCAATATTTGAATTTTTTTTCTATTCTGCATGGACATGCCATATCTCCATCTCTATTATTTATGTTACCTACATGACTACCACAGAAATGAAGTACATAGTAACATTAAAAAGATTAAAAGCTATTTAAAAAGATATAATCACCAAAATAATTGTTTTCCTTTAAATTCAATAGCAGAAAAGGAAATAGGTAAATTAAGTAATTGCTCCAGTTCTATGCCATACATTTCTGTTGCCTTATCCTCTTTTTGTTCTTCTATGTCAGAAGAAAATATAAATGGATATTTGTTTAATCTTAAATGGATATCTTACAACTATAAGATAAAAGAAAATGCTTAAAAGAAACATCAGATGGATATGACTTTGTGGGAGAGAATATTACCATAAACTAAATGGCAAAAGCAAATGACTTTCTGGACAACTATGAATCAGATAAAGGCATCAGAAGCTTAGAGTTCTTAGAAATGAAGAAGGTAAAGATGTCAATTAAAAAATGGGCTGCAGCCCTGGCCGGTTTGGCTCAGTGGACCAATGGGTCTCGGGTTCAATTCCGATCAGGGGCATGTGCCTCAGTTGAGGTTTGTCCCTTGCTCTGGTCGAGGTTGTGCAGGAGGCAGTCGGTTGATGTGTCTCTCTCACATCCATCAATGTTTCTCTCTCTCTCCCTCCCTCTCCCTTCCTCCCACTCTATCTGAACAAAAATGGAAAAGTATCCAGTATTTTCAAGTGAGGATTAAAAAAAAATATTGGGCCGTAGTTCGGCCAGTGTGGTTCAGTGTATTGAACGTCCTCCCATGGACTGAGAGGTCCTGGTAGGTCCTGGTTTGATTCCCCGTCAGGGCACATGCCCAGGTTGCAGGCTCCCTCCCCAGTAGGGGGCGTGCAGGAGGCAGCTGATCAAAGTTTCTCTCTCACACTGATGTTTCTATGTCTTTCTCTAAAAAATCAATAAAAACATAGTCTAAGAAAGTGGGCTGTAGATAGGAAGAGAAGTTCATAAAGTAGAAAATAAATGTATTTATAAGAACCATCACCTACCCTAGTAATTATATAAAAACAGATACTAAGTTATTGTTGAAATAATTTAAAACTTATAGAAAAGTTTCAAGAATAATACAAAGGTCCCTCAAATACCATCAAGTGTTAACATGCCACATTTGCCTTCTCCCTCCCTCCCTCCCTTCCTCTCTGTATAATTATGTTTTTCTGAAACTTTTGAAAGTAAGGAATAGATATCCAAATTTTACTTTTTGAAATTTTGTTAGCTCTAATCCAGTAAGACTATTTTTTTCTAAATATATTTTTTGCCTGAAATAAATAAAATAGTAATTTACAGCTCAACACAATTTATAAAAACTCATGCTATATATCTTGAGACAGTTTCATCGTAATATATGTGGGAAATCTGGACCATCATAGAAATATTAATATCTATGGCTTTTTAGAGTGTCATATAATATCCAGCCAAATATATAAATATGACTTGTTTCTAGAAGTTGTTGCAGAATACCAATGAAATCTGTACATTTATTTTTTTCTAAAAAGATATACCCCCCCACACAAATATATAGGTAAGTTGAATTGAAAATGGAATTGTTTTTTAAAAGTAACTGTAGAAATTTCATGAGACACTTATAAAATTATAAAATGATATTGATAATTATGATGATTTTATAGTAAATTCTGATCTACTAAAAACCAAAAGGGTTTGCTTATTTTTAATATATTTTTGAATTCTTGAAAAATTTCCCATTTATTTATGATGATTTTTAGTTAATTAGTAACCCTATTCCTTAGCTTTTCTGGAAAAAGTATTTTATTACATAATAGACTTTCCTAAGGGCCTTGTTTTAATAAATTGATACAAATAAATTATAAGTAACATGCTTTTTTCATGGGCAATGACAGAAATCCAACTCAAGTTAACGCAAAAAAGGAGATATATAGGTCATGTAACTAAGAAATTCAAAATGGGTAGGAATGGCTTCAGGCTTGGCTGGATCTCATTTTCAAGAAGCTCTCTGTTTTTGAGGTTTGGTCTGATTTTCTCTTATTGTGAATGGATATCCTCCCTGATACTGGACGGTGTCTGTGGTAAGCAGCAGGTTAGCCTACTTTTGGTTTTATTTATTTTAATAGAAAGATGATTTCTCCTTTTCAAGGTAGAATTCTGATGGTCTTTTTATTGGGTTTGGGGTGGATGATGGTCCCATTATTGACAGTAGGACTACATAAATCAGAAAGAAATTCCTCAGAGGACACGGGCTGTTATTAGCAGAAGGATGATTTAAAAGCATAGATTGGCCAACCAAAAACTTCACAGATAACTACTTTCTATGACACATCAGTTGTCAATTTGTAAAAGCATGC